AACACACTCACCAGCAAAGTGAAGAAAAACAAAACGCCTCCAAACCACAGATAAGCCTCACTCAAAGTCACATTGAGAGCTCTGCCCAGCCTCCCATCTCAGAGCAACACAGCTCATCTGCACCTTCTCATCACACCCCCCACACAGGCTCTCCACAGTTTTCCACACAGAACCCCCCCATGCATGGGATCTCGCAGACAACTGGTGAGACAGTGCAGCCTGCCCCTCTCCCCTCTTTGCCCCCCAGCCATCCTGCCACCTTATTACCCGCCCAGCCCTTCCCAGCAGAACACAGAGATCAAAGAGCCAGCAGGCCGGACAGAGAGGGTGCTGCCATTTCCCCACAACATGCCATGATGTCCCCCGGACCACCAACCAGTATTTATAAACAGCAGGCTTTCAGCCCAAATCACACTCGGACCCAGTCCATGGTGGGTAACGGGGGTGTGGAGGTTCAAAGAGCGCCACCCACCAGTTATAGTCCAGCAGGGCCTCCTCACCCCCAAAGTCAACTCAATGGAGCTATGGGCCATTATAGTACAGGAAGCTCTCTACATCCACACTACAACCAGACCAATGTGAATAAGCCTCCATCTGTCCTCCACCAGTACCACAGTCAGCCCATAAACACCCTGCACAGCACCGCCCCCCACCCTGCATACCAGCAGCAGGGAGGGAACCCCTACTACCAGATACCTACACAGCAGCACCCACAGGCTCTCAGAAATATGTACCCGCCCCATCAGTACCCGCAGCAGGGATACTATAACCAGCCCCTCAGCAGAGGGGGTTACCCTCCCAAGGACTGGCACCAGTCTCCCTACCGGCCTCAGCAGCCAATCTCAGCCAACGCCTACCTCCCTGTAGGCAGCGCAAGATCGAACGGTCATTACAAAGAGAGCAGCATGTCACCGCTGGGATCTGATGCCTCCATCGGTGCTGGCTTGCTATCCCCTGGTCCTGTGCCTGATGTAGGGCCGCTGTCTGCAGGCTCAGAGGAAGGGAGCACTGAGAGCAGAGAGCAGGCTGGTCCAGGTAGCAGCAGCCAGACAAAGCAGGCTCAGAACGAGAACTCTGACCCACCGGAAAGCCCGAAAGAAATCCTTGACCTCGACAGCCACAACGCAGCGGCCCGCCATCGAGGCGCACCGCCGCTTCAGCTGCATCGTCCTACGCACATAAGCTCAGGGTTTACGTATGATCATCGAGCCCTGCATCCAGGGATGCAACAAGGCGGCATTCCTCCACCTCACATGATGTCTCAGGGTCACGGAATTGGAGACGGGACACAAAATCCTGACCAGCGGTACCCAGATTCACGCTACGCTGGGCAAAGACCTCACCCACATCTGATGGAAGCTCTGCAGCGGCCCCAGCAGTTGCCCTACTCCCCCGGTCAGACGCGCATGGCCATGTACAGACACCCCAGAGCTGGAGGGCACTTTCAGGGCATGATGGTTCAGCAGAGAGGCCTAGGACCAGAGCGCTTCCCACACCCTGGGTAGTTTGGTTTATTTATTTTTGGATATTTTTAAGTCATTTAAAGTATATTAGTGTTATCTAATAGATTCAAAACGTAAAAAGAAGAGATTAACAATAACTGCAGATGTACATGACAAACAATCCTACCTGTATTTAGTCACTGTTGGGTCGTTCTTAAAGACAAACTGCCTTTTCTAGGAATGGTAGCTGGAGAATAAAGAGTCCTGTTTAATATAAAGTTGTGTGTTTCTGCAGTTAATAATACAGCTTTGGAGCAACATGTGAAAATTGCACCAAACATGCTGCTGAGGTAACTAATAAAAGTGTAAACTCATTTCAGACAACAGATGATGGCGGCTCCTGGAGGTCCTGGAAGTAAACAAGGATTGTGAAATCTCAGAGTGAGTATAAAAGTTATTTTATTTATGAAACTTTTTTTAAAATTTAGTTTGACTGGATCTTTTTTCCTCCTCTTGCTGATATAGACACCCCAAAAATTTTGGAAATCCTTAACGTCAGTCCAGTACTGCCCGGGTGGATGCAGCCATTTCCTTTTTCCCCAGACAGAATGAAAATGACCCACAGATGGATATGAAGCAACCATCCAGCTGGTACAAAGAACCGAATAAAAATGTGAAATAGTTTTGAGCCATGAGGATCAATCTTCTTCTCCCTCGGCTCATTGTGGCCGAGAAGACTAAACCGAAGGGTTTCTCTTGTCTGGATGAAGCATGCAGCAGATGCAGTTTCCTCCCAAAGCCTTGAGACTTTTAAGGGAATCCTTCTAACCACTAGGTCAACCTGTCCAGCACAGGGGACGTTGCCTTCAGGAACACTGGATGGCTCTCTTCCACATGATCAGCCGCAGCATGGACGGAAGTCTAGCTTCTCAACAGAGCTACTGATTTGGACTGTGGTTGTCACATGTAACTCAGGTGTAGAAGAGGAGGTCCTGTGAGGAGCGGCTGACTCACAGAACCCCTCCAGATGCCTTCATCCTCTTTGTGAATGTATGAGTAAATGTTTAGAGCAGAAATGCATCACCGTAGCTGCAGATGTAAGGACATGCTAGCTGATTACTCCACCCACTGTCTATTGTCTATTTCTACCACAACTCCCAAAAACATTTCTCAACTTGAGTAATTAAGAGAAAAATATGCATCTTTCAAAGCTGCCTTCATTATTAAGAATGTCTTGAAAGGGCCTGGAAGCAATGGTGCAATTAGTATCTCTCTGATGCACTATGAAGTCCAAATCTGAGTGGCCTTTCTTAGTCATCTATCAGTCCCATTCTCACCCCAGAAATAAAAAAAGGAAAAAAAAAAGAAAAAAACAGTCAAATATATATTCATCAGAGTCCTATACTACTGAGGTCCACCCTCCCTGCTGTTACATTGCACATAAATGAAACCAACCCTAAAACTAATTTCAGTTTTTAACTGCTCCTTCATGGCCCTGCTGAGCTCCAGGTGGTTTCTCCTTATTGTTCTTCCTCCTACTGTTAATAGTAAAGTTCTCCTCAGGGTGTACAGATTTGGAAAACGGGTATTTTTATAAATCATTTGAGGAAGGAGCAGCACACCTGAAGTGAGACAGAAGCTTTGGTTTTAGTGTCTGTTTATTGTCGTGAGCACACAGCCTGCCTGCTTTAAATCTGTCTGCTCTGTGTATTTCCACTGAGAATGTGTTTTAGTTGAATCTACTTCTTATTCTACTTATTATAATTCATTTTGCATTACAGACATAATTTTAGCTTTTCATCTCATTTTCCCTGTTATGGATGACGTGCTGCAGTTTAGTCTTTCCTTTAAGAGCCCTCTTAGTGCAGTTTAGTATTGAACTGAATCTACCTCATCTAGCTGCTGAGTGCTATCCTATAGGAGTCCGTCCACCTTCACTCCTCCCTCCTCAGACTCCCAGTTGTTTTAGTCGCCTTTAGATAACAAGGTAAACCTGGCCTGGAAATCCATTGTCCAATCCATCGTGGAAAATGTAATTACGCATAGTTTGGTTGGAGGAGTAGGTGGACAAGTTCTGCTCTGTTTGTAATTAACTGGTTCGAGTTTGGGCTATAGTAACCCACATAGTTTGAGTAACTGTCATTAATTTGAGTTGTTTTGATGCAATGTCAGGAGACACTGGAGAGTTTTCTAAACGAGTTATCGTCAGTGACTTATAAAAGTAATTAACAGCAAACATCAAATGAGGTAGCGCTCATCCCTGCTGTGTGACATCTGAAGGACAGTGCTGTTTTTAAACAGGTTGTGATGTCACCTTTGTTCGTGTGTGTCTGACTGTACTGGTGCACATACCAGTTAACTGGAACCGATTCTTCCTTCTTCTCTTCTGTAATTTCTCTGCACTAGTAACTAAAAAATGTAGACGTGGTTAAATGTGAATCATATTTATTTGCTCTTTTAAGAATTTTTGTAAATTGTTTTTGGACTTGTTTTAATATAAAGTTTCCCTTGATATTTTTTAAACTGTTGTCCTTTACCTCTGTTGCGTGGTGTCTTTGGGAAAAAGGGAAAATGTCTTTGGTTTTAAAATGACGTTTACATGTTCCTGTTTGACCAACATGGATTATTCTGGGAATGGATTGGAATATTTTCTATACTGCCTTAGAAATAAATAACGTTTCTCAGCTCCGAGTGTGTCTTATTTTAATGAAACTTTTGGGAAAGGTTTAGACCGAATGTCCACAGCCTGATCTCCTGTCAGCAGGACTCTGCCTGCATTCTGAACGATCCTCCAAAGCTCACCACGAGTTAAAAATTGTTTTATTCAGGCAAAAGTTGGAAAAACTGAAAACAAAAAAATATGAACCAATTCAGCATGCAATGAAGATGCTAATGAAGACACTCATGAGGAGTGTTGTTTAAACACTACAAACAGGAAAAACAAGATGTTAACAGAAGAGGGAACTATTTAGGATCAAAATTATACCTCAAGTTATAGGGTTGCTTAGTAATGTTGCAACCTCATTTAGATGTGTTTTATTTGATAGATCAGAAAAAATGTGTGCATTTATGATATGCAGAAGGAATCATGTTTCACAGTGCAGATCATTTGTTTAGAATGATCTGCACTAGTAGTTTTCTGCAGTACATACGTGCTTTGCATGTAGGTAAACAAGTTGGGGCATTATTACAGGTGCATGCAAAAAATTTTTTTTTCTGCATTCACGTAACCATAGAATTATTAGCGTTGGTCATCGCAGAATTTTTTTTATTTATTTAACAAAATGCATTTAAATATTCAGCTGTCCTTATGAAAATACTGTATTGTTGATACGCGTTGATAGCATTTTATCAGATTCAAGTTAGATCTTCCTGTATAGATGTTTGAATCTATAATGAAATGTATTTTTTTCAAAACATCATAAAAACCCTCAAAAGAACCTTTTTCTTTCCGTGTTTACATCTTTAGAACAACCAATCAAAGACCGAACAACATCCTCTATCAGCCAATCGCATGACAGGAGGCGGGGCTTCGTTGCCTAGCAGTCAATGTTCCGGGTGAACTTAAGCCCCCTGTGTTCTGTTAAGTAGAGCCCGCTGTCCTGTGATCAGCAGTAAGTATCGCAGCCTGTTTATTAGTGTGACAACCCTACCAGAAAGCCCTCCGCGGTGAAACTCTTCGCTCTTCGTTAGGGGCTCCCACCCCCCACCCCCACCACACAGCTGAGTTGTTTACCAAACGTCAAGCCGCTTTGCTTTGTTCTTCTACCTGCTGTCTGATCAACGCTGCACCACCACCAACACTCAGGTATGTAACATTTCTTCTCCGTGTGCTCAAATAGTGACTTCCAAAGGCTCCACTTTTATGATTACATTTTTTCTTGCTTTTCTCTAATATTTAGATTAATGGCTGATCTCCTTTTAAACTGAATAGTTTCTATTCGGAAGCAGGTTGAGACAGCTGCTGAGGAAGCTGGCTTCTCTTCTCAGCTTTATTTTTGCCTCTGGTGATACAGAGGGACCTGTTTTCAGTTCTGCAAAACAGCATCGCTTCTCCTTCAGTCCCTCAGGGCTCTATACCCATCACACCATCAAAGCCTGATCTACCTTCAGCTGCTGACATGACCTGATCTGTGAAAAAAAACAAAAAAACTAATATTTCTCAATTTACTTAAAATAAGATGTAAAATATGAAGAACATTCATTTTATTTAGTTTTCAAAAAAGAGAAATGTATGTATGTGGGTGTGTATCTGTTTAGCCATCAGAGTGAGGACCATTTTTTTCTTCCAATTTCACCATCAGATTGAGGACCAGTTGTTGCTAATGGTTAGGTTTAGGGCTAAAATGTCAGTGGGTTAGGGTGAGGTATGCATTGGTAATGATGAGGTTTGGGGTTAGTTTTAGTGATAGGGCATAGAAAGGTTTGAAAATGACTGAAAATCAATGGGAACACATGGTCAACTCACTACGATAGCAGAACGTGTGTGTGTGTGTGTGTGTATATGAGATTTTTGAAAAGTGGATTAATAATTTGAGGAAATTAATGCTGCTTATTTCCAGTCCCATAACAGAAAACAATAATAATAATAATAATAATAATAAAAAGGACACTTCAAAACATGAGTTGGTTCTGTATCATTTTTAGCCATAATTATTATGGGGGAGCTTTTGAGCAAGGAACAAAGAGCTCACTTGCAGACCCCCAGAGTGTCAAAACAGATAACTTTTTGAATTCAAAGTATTCATGTAATCCCTTTACACGCTGCTGTGTGTAACTTTACTTTATTACTATTACTATTTTTGCTCTTATTTAGTTGTTTTTCATTTATTATTATTATATTTGTTTAAACCCAGGCTGATTGTTCACTGAAAATTGTACTTATTTCTTTTGTATGTTATAAAGAATGTTCTAAAAAAGTAAAAGAATAAAAAAAAAAAAATACATAACTTTTTAAGTGAAACAGTAGAATTATAAACCTTTAATTAAGCACATCTGCTCAGTGTAAGCATTTTTATATAAGAAAGTTTATACCAAGGTCTGTGTATTTGTTTTAGTTTGTAGTAGTGTTGGCTCTTGCTATTGGATCTATTTTATTTTTCAGATGATGGCAGTCCATCTACAGCGCCCCCTTGCAGCTATGTGTTGCCTGTTTCTGTACTGCCTGATTGGGGTACTGTCAAGTCCGGACCCCAGACTGAGAGAGGCTCTCATAGAGCTTGAGGCCTCCATGCAGACAGGAGGTCAGATGGTGCTGACGGATGCCGAGCAGCGGCTGGATGCTCTTCTATTGAAATTGAAGCAGGAGGAAATGTCCAGAGAGGATTTTCCTCCAGCCATGCATTTCTTCAGAGCCAAACATCTCATCCAGACCAGTCCCATTTTCAGGCTGTTGCAGAAGATGCCTAAAGGTAAAATTAAAAAACACATAGCTGCATGTTCTAATGGTTAAAGGTTTGACTGATGGAGTTCTTTTAATTATACATAGAAATTCTATGTATAAAAACTATTTCAAATGCTTCTAATATTAGTTGGATTCCCAGAATGACTCAAATGTTTGACATTTGAATTATTTCACTAACCACTATAATTCCACTCTGCCAGGTGGAGCTCTTCATGTCCACGACGTCTCCATGGTGGACGTAGAGTGGCTGGTGAAGAACGTCACCTACCGGCCGCACTGCTACATGTGCAGCACAGACAACATGTCTGTCAGGTTTATCTTCTCGTCTCAGTCGCCCAAACCTCTGGCTCGTTGCTCTCCCTGGGTCCTGCTGGAGAACCTTCGCGCTAAGATAGTCAACACAACAGATCTAGACAACAGGTGACCCCTGCTTTTAACAAGTGGATATTAAGCAAAAGAATCAGTATTTAAAGGTGATCGCTACTAATTTAGCTCCTCTCGGCCAGACTGTATGTGGGGCACTCTTGCTTACCTGTTCTCATTCATAGACTTAGAAAAACTTTGTCATCTTGTATACACAGAGTGTATACAAAACAAAAAATTTGATGCATACAGCTTTTCAAGAGTAAAATGAAAATTACCATTTATAAAGTGCAGCAGTGATCGGAATTTAAACAGTGTAAAGTCACAGTGCAAAAGGGATTGATATGGAAAGGTTCGGTTCAGTGCAATTAAGTAAATGAATAAATGTGGTGCAAAATGCAGTAGAACATTGAGTTATGTTCTATTTAAAGGGATTAGGAAAAAAATCTGCCATGTTGGTAGTGCAAATGTGACGTTTACAAGTGTGATGCAGAGTCTTGATTAGAGTTTTATCAGTGAGCTGAGTTATTTTCCACGTCCGGTAATGCTAAAGCTTACCAAAGCAAACATTTAACTTGGAAGTTTTGAAGAAAAGCAACAACCTCTGAAGCCGCTTTCCTTTTTGAATTTGGCAGCAAAACTCAAAAGCGTGACTAATATTCACTCTCATTTTACCTTTTTTTCATTTTTTGGCTTGAATGTGAGGAGAGTAACGCAGAGAAGGAGCCATTTTTATAGAGCTATCACAGAGCTGTTGGGATCTGGAAACAACTGAGCACAATCTGTCATGCCTTGAACCTAAAATTCCTATTAGGCAGAATACTTTCAAATGTCAATATTTATGTTTTGGACCCTTCAAAAATTTATAAACAAGTATTTATAGACTAACTATTTTTGTTTTTAATACAATTTATGCATTTATTCGACATCACTCTAAATATTCTGTGGATGTATTTTTTTTTATTATGTTTTTGATTAAAAAAAAATAAAAGCTAGAATCCTTAATAAAATAAATAATTTTTGAAAGCATCTAGAAGCTGGATTATGCTAGAATAGCTGTACCATTAGATGCTGCAGAATTATTGGCACCCCAGGTAAGGATGTTGGAAAAACTTAAAAAACAGATTTTTATTTCTTCTAAGAAGAAGAAGGATAATTTGAAGTCTCTGAAACCATTGCTTTGTTAATTTGTGTCGTTTCCTGCTGAAAGACCAAAATGGGGACCAGTTTCATATAATGTCCAGAGGCGACCAGCCATTATTCAAAACAGGCCAACAACATGACAGGTCCTCCGCCGTGCTAAACATGAAGCATGAGGTTAATTTCCTTATACTTGACTGTTTGTTGCACATTTTTTCCTGAAGAATTTGGTTCATTCTGGTAGAATTTAGGAAAATCTACACCTCTATATTTATGATTACAAGATAGAGAATTCTTTTTAACCGGCACAAAGATACTGGGTGATGGTTTGCCTAGACACTTAGAAACCACTAGGTGTCACTTTCCTTTTATTGCCTCCTTTGAGCACATGGAGCTTTTCTTTTCAGTATCAACGCTGAGAAACTAGGGTGCATGTGCGGCTTGTGACTCCACGCTCGCCTTGTTCTAGCCAGATGATTTGGTTAATTATTGTTTTCGCTGCAGATCTGGGAAAGGGGAGGGAGGGGTTACCTTATGACTCTCATGCCCTTTCTATTTAGAAATAAATTGGATAAAATTGGATAAAAGAAGTGGTCATCTGTGTCACGCTATGTTCCAATCCCAGGGAAACAGAATTTCATGGATTCTTGACTAAATGGTCCTGAACACTGATCAATCAACAGTAAGTTTTAAATAAAAATGCTAGTTAGTTATTACGAAAGCACAATTAGGGGTTCTGCTGTTGGTTGGCACAAAATCTAAAATAAAAAAAATATATATATATATTATTTTCTGAATTAATAAGCCAGAAAAAAATCTTTCTATTAAATTCAAAGATTAATTGTATTTCTTTCACCGTTATTTATATAGTTTGATGTCCATGCTTTAATACTTTGAATAAGCTGCTGCTGTAATTTAGATATTAGTAAAAGATAAACAGAGGGAATCCCTTTTCCATTTAAGGACTGAATTTATTGTTCTATTAATGCATGCTGAGATTTATAGACAGGAAAGCTGTCCAGCTTTAATTGAAATTTAATGAACAAATATGAAAGCCTTTTACTTTTAGCTTTAAACTAATTACACTTTTACTACTTCTGAATCACTCCTTTGGACATTTAATACTTTAAAAGCTCCATGCATTAAAATGTTGTAAATAAACCAACATAAAAATTATGCCCAAGTCCAAATGGGCCTTATTTCTCCTTATCTTTATCATCTTCAGCATCAGGGGCAACCTGAGCCTCTTCACTGACCGGGATCCGGAGGCAGTCTACCCCAGTCAGGACGTGGTTTGGGATCGGTTCGAGCAGGCCTTCCAAGCCGTGTGGGGTCTGGTCACTTATGCTCCAGTATTCAGAGATTATTTCTACCAGGGCCTCACCCAGTTCTACACTGACAACGTCATGTATCTGGAACTGCGTGCTATGCTCCCAGAGGTACGGTATTAAAAGCTCTCCCCTGGATGTGGTCCTATTTGTCTCAGATCCGCCCAGTTCATATGATGTTACAGCAAACATTGGTGCACAGGTGTATGAACTGGATGGCAGCACACATAACAAAGCATGGACCATGAAGACCTACCAGGACATTACCAAGCAGTTTGTGTCGACGCACCCAGACTTCTTTGGAGCGAGAATCATTTTTACACATCAAAGGTGAAGTGTCTGGTCTGTTATCTCCTGAGTCAGCACCAAGTGCTGAAACATTTAGAGAACATTTAAGATTTTTTTTAACTGCTGATCTTTTTTGTTTTGTTTTTTAGGCGAGCAAATATATCGGCAGTAGCTGAAGCTGTGAAAGAGGCAATGCAGCTAAAGAAAGACTTTCCTGATTTCCTGGCTGGCTTTGACCTGGTGAGATCCTGCAACCATAACCGTCAGTTCAGCGAAATATGGTTTAGGTTTTTGTTCTCTTTGTAAAGCTTTAAACTCTGGGTCTGCTTTATCAGGTGGGTCGGGAAGACCGAGGCAAACCCCTGTGGTACTTTAGAGATGCTTTGTCACTCCCTGCAAAGAAAGGCGTCCAGCTTCCTTACTTTTTCCATGCTGGAGAGACGGGTGAGTTTATCCAACCGTAGGCTAGTTGTAAAGGTAGCATCACAAGATTCACAAGATATTTGAGATTCATAAAAAACAAGTGAACTACAACAAAACAGCTTTGTGACTTTTATAACTTAAACTTATTGTTTTCCTTTATTTTGATGAAATGTAAAGATATGTTTTCGCTGCTGAATATTTATCTGGGAAGTAGCTTCACTATTAATTATTGATTATTACCCAAAGATAGAAACAAGACAGATTCTCCTGCAGGATGTTCTGGAAGAGGGGGAAAAAATTACAATCCCATCTATTACAGGAAGTCATCTTGAGAAAAGCAAGCCAGCCCCAGATTATCACCCAACCATCACCTTGTCTGATGGACTGATTTTCGGTTTCATAGATGCTGTTAGTTCGAGAGCAGATCTAACAGGCCCTATAACCATTCTAAAAGGCTCACCTCCATCTCATCACAGCACAGATTATTTTCTCTTGATTCTTTTGGATCCTCCAGATGTTTTATGGTGAAAGAGGGATGAGCCTCTACATTCTTTTGGGTCAGCAGTGGTTCTGGTCTTGGAACTCTTCCATGGAGGAGAGTTCTTTCTGATCATTGGATCATGACCTCTGACCTTAGCCGAGGCAGAGATCTTTTTCATTTTGTTGTGGGTTTGTTCTGGGTTTCTCTTTGATCTCTTGAAGTAACGTTTGGGAGGGTTCTCCACTGCTGCATTTTTCTGCAGTCGATCACAGTTCTCACTCTATCAAAGCCTTAAGGGCTGGTTATGCTCCTGCAGCAGTGTTTCGCAATGAGCTTGTTGCAGATATTTTTGATTTATTCCCAAGCGTGGTCTATGTAGTTCTATGCGCTATGTTATTCCACGCCACAACGCATGAGGGACAATCATGAACTAGCTGTGGGTCTAGATACGGCCGAGAAAGTGGGGGCAAGTTTGTGGGACAGCAGAGGGACATGAGGGGCGAAAAAGAGCGGGGTTCCAGGTGGAAAAAAGGTCCCAGCGTTCTTGCGCACCTCGCTCTTCTAGCTGGTCCAACTTCACGAGTCATTTTCCACAATGGCGGTCATACAAACAACACAAGCTGGTATGGTACCAAACAGGAAATACGCATAGTGTAGAGCGCCCAGGTCACCTACAGTGTAGGTCACCTACATTTTTGGAGAGGTGCAGCAAAGTGTCTGTGGAGGGGGCGGGGGCACATTTACGTTCCCTGCGACACACGCAGAAGACCTGGTTTATGAGTTTAAACCTGGCTTTAGAAATATATTTATAACCCTTTGTTTTTCTACTTAAAAAAAATTATTTAAAGATAATGTATTGATTTTTAAGTTGTTTCTGTTTAAATGTTTATCTGCTGGTCCGATTGTTTAAAAAAAAAAAAAAGAAATCACAGCAAATTCCTGATTTAACAAGAGGGGAGTTCTGTTTTTTAGAAAGTCTATTTGGTTCGGACATTTTTTTCCTCTTAATTAATATAATCTTCATATTAACTCAGGGTCTTTATTAAAAATCACAGCAAACACAAGTTATTTCAGAATTTAACTGGAATCTTTTTTTTTTTAAAGCATTTCTATTGCGTGTCTGTTGTGTTTTGTTGTGTGCAGATCTTGAGGGCACTGAGGTGGATCAGAACCTCTTAGATGCTCTGCTCCTGAACACATCTCGTATCGGCCATGGATTTGCTCTGCTGCGGCATCCAGTGGCCAAAGATTTATCCAGGAAGAGAGGGGTGGCGGTGGAGGTCTGCCCCATCTCTAACCAGGTACACTGACCACTGCTGCTGCATTTCTCACAGAATCCTCTGAAACTGCTAAACTACTACAGGTGCATCTCATTAAAGCATCGTGACCGCAGGTATTATTCATTATATTACCTTACAGGGTAATATAATGAATGTTATGCTTATGGCTCAAATAAAAAAAAAAGTTGGTAGAGAAATTATAATTTTGCATCAAACCATTTAAACATATCATAAACTCACATCCTGCATAATGCTAGAGAAGATGACTGACTTGACAAGTTTTTGACAGTCAGTCATTGACCTCCCTACATTAGGAGGCTAAGCTACAAAAGGATTTTATAGAGTGGAAGGGGGGTGGGGGGTGGGGATTGGGAGCAGAAAAAACGGGAACAAGCACTGGAGGAGTTGCAATTGTTGAAGCAACTCCGGTAAAAAATCAGGATAAAAAAACTCAGCCTGATCCAGAGCATGGGCTACAACTGTCCTAGAAAGAAGCCGGTTCTGAACCAAAGAGGATTTTGGTCCAGTCTCTTCTGGTTATAACAGGAATGATGCTGTTAAAGTTTGCATTTTTTATTTATTTTTTAAGTAAAGTCTGGACAGACAATTGGAATAATCCAATCTTATTTCCCAGCAGGTCTTAACACCAGTCCACCCTGTCATAAATCCCATTACCTGCTCTAATGAATATGGTGTTGCTGTGAACCATCCAAAGAACGATGGATGAAGATGATCTGTTGCTCTGCTATTAAAGCAACCTGGCTTTCTGAAAATCTCAATAAAAAACAGAGGAGACTCTCCCCTCAATGTAGTGATGCAGGAATTTATCCATATGGAGCCCAGATTCAGAACTATGACAAAATACTTTACAGAACCTGTAGAAACCTTCCATTAAAAACCTGATTTATTTTAATTTAACTGTAAGCGTCAAATCATCAAAATGAAATAGAATGGATTCTTGCATAATTAGTCTATATAAGGCCCAGCTTTTAGTTTCAGTTACTAAAGTAAATTAGATTTATGGCTAAAATATTAGAAATAATGCCCATCAGAAAGCTATTTGTGTTAAATGGTTGCTGTTTTAGCTGTTGTTTCATGTCTGTCATCACATCTCCAATTATTTTTCAGGTCAGTAACATTAAATTAATGCTTTAAGCTTTATGTTTGTGACTCTGATACTACATTTTATCAGCTGGGAGCCAAAATCAAGAGAAGAAAACCTTATATCTATGAGCGGGTGTCAGTCTCTGACAAATGGAAACTTTCAGTGCTTCTGTAATTTACTGATGTCCAACTGTATTTTAGGTTTTAAAGCTTGTGAATGATTTACGGAACCATCCAGCTGCTGCTCTCATGTTGGAAAATCACCCACTGGTCATCAGCTCTGATGACCCAGCCATGTTCGGGGCTTCTGGTCTTTCTTACGACTTCTATGAAGCCTTTGTGGGCTTCGGGGGCATAAAGTCCCACATCGGCTCCCTTAAAGAGCTGGCCATGAACTCCATCAGGTGAGGCTTTGCCAGGATGCGGGTAAAGCTCGGTGCTTTGGGTCATGACTTGCTCTGAACCTTTTTCCATCTGTGTTTCAGGTACAGTTCTTTGTCTCGAGAACAACAGAAAGAGGCGCTGCTTCTGTGGCAGAGGAGATGGAACACGTTTGTGACTGAAAATGAGTTTCTGAAAATCAACTAGAACTTTTTTCTGACCTTCATACCCGTTTCAACTGTCCCACTAAAGCAGGTCCTCTTTGAGCTGCTTCCTGTCTGACCTAATATGGGCACAGACCAGGACTTCCTCTTCTTTATTGTAGAAGAAGAGAAGAAGAACGAGGAGGATTAGGTCTGATCAAATATAAGCAGATTTTTCAAATATAAGCTGATTTTTCATGAATATGCGGAAAGGAAGTGGAATAGATGCTCAGCTTACACATCATTTCATGATTAATCTGGTTTTATCTTCTTAATGGAAACTTTTTTTTTTCTTTTTTCAGAATGGTTTACAGGGATTTGGTTTTAAAATCTTTATTTTATGTGTTGTTTGTGTCAAAGAAAAAACCTTCATAAGGTTTGTATGTAGATGTGATCTGTTTGTTTTCTAACATTTGCACATTTAATCCTGACTAAATTGACTGAGATGAATCCATTCAGCGTTTATTGAAACACTTTAAACAGCTGCAGCAGCAACCTGTTGGTCATAGAGCTGCTCCTTTGTGTCCATCAACACCTTCGGGTTCAGTTTTATAGTTTATGATTTAAACTGAAAACAGCAGGAGTTGGATTAGGATTACAGTAGGACTCTGATGATGTGACTTCTGATAGGGGCAGAATGCTTTAGTTGTGTGTCAGGTTTTTGTTTTACCATTTTGAACTATTTTAGTAATTTATGTGATCAGATTATCACATAAATTAAATATTAAAACTATTATTATTATTATTATTAATGCAGGTAAAAATCTGTGAAAAATCAGCTTATAATATTAAATGGCTGGCAAACTGTAAACAGTTCTCTAGTGTTTAAATGTTTAAAGCAGACAAAAAGAGAAATATTTTTTGCAATGGCTCCGTTTATTTTTTTTCGCTCCTCTTGCAGCAGAACTGTTGGTTTTCTCCTGGCAGTGATTCCCCATCATCTGCTGCAGGTGTTGAAATTGGAGAAGAAGCTGTCTTCAATGTTTCCTCTTTTAAGATCTGGCTGCCTTTAAATGAGACAAGTTAAAATCAGTCTGAGGAGTGAGGAGACTTTAACAGCGGGTTCCTCTATGACGCTACTGACCGTTGTTTTTGGGTTTGTGCCAGCTGAACATTAAAGCTGTCCAGGTGTCTCCTCAGCTGCTTGTTCATCCTTGCTTGCTGCCACTCCATCAGCAGAGCTTTACGGGCCGAATCCAGTCGGATATTATTGTAGAAGTCCTCCTCTCGCTTCTTCTCCAACTCTAACCTCTAGAGGACCAGATCCATCTGCAGATGAGCTACTTTTTTATCTGGACTGGTGTTTCTCTGGTTGTTAGTCTTACCTTCTTCTCCTCGATTTGGCCTTGCTGGAACTGAGTGACCTGCTGCAGGGTCTCAGGCTGAGGTCTCCTGTCATCACTGGGACAAAGGCCAAGTACCCCCACAGCGGTTGGGACACAGTCTTCATCACGCCGCTGCCTTTCCTCATTACCTTTTTCCTCAAGCTTGTTTAAAAAAAAAAAAAGAAAAAAAAAAGCTAAATAAAGTATTGATAAGGCTTGATTCTTTCCCACTCTGCCTCAGCTGTAGATTTTAAAATATTGCATCCAATGATTTAATTTCAATTACAATCGCACCAAACAGGGAAAAAAACTTTGAGAAGATTCGGTTTGTCAAAATAAAATATGGTAATGATAAATCGATAACTACAAATTAGAGCATAATTCTTATATATTCACAAACACTAAGTTTGTTTAATTAAATGATTGGATGCAAACTATCGGTACTTCCACATACCAGGAAGCAGATTTCTCATCTTCATCAAAATATCTATTTTATACAGAGGCTTAAAAGTTTAATCAAATCCAGTCAAAACTTCCAAGAGCGCATCTCACAACTTCAAAACAAACTTCTTATCGCAGGAATGGATGTAGAGATGCTGAGTTTGGAAGTAGAGAACAAAACATAGTTCATACAAACCAATATTGTATGATCCTAGTTATCCCTATTATATAAATTCACAACAAAAAGACAATATTTGGGCAGAAACAACATATGCTGGACGCTGATTGGGATTTTTTTTTTAATATGTCATTAAATTAAGCATGAATTTCCATATGTTTTGCTCCTATCAATTTGATAATAATATAGCGTATGCTCCCCTCGAGCTCCGAGGAAGACTTTTATATATATATAATTCGGCTCTGTGGACATCATTAAAAAACCTGGTGGCTGTAATTTATCTACACCTCGCTTATTCTGCCAAACTTTGATATTTTTAAAGCCACATAACCTTCATGTGTGTAATCATATAACTGAAGGGCTGACCTAAATGAACAGATATCTTACCTTGCCTAGGTTGTAGGTTGTAATGGCAATGCTGTCTGCTTTTCTCTTCTCCATCTCAAGGTTCTGGAGTTTTAGAGCTTCTTTATCCATTTCTACTCTCCTCTGGTCATGGTTCAGCTCTAAAGTCCAGAATGAAGGACAGAAGCATAAACTATCAGTGAACTCAGGATTGTGTCCTTTAAGCACAGCAGCTGCCCTACCTTCAAGCTTTTGCTGCTGCCTGTCCTCCTCCTGCTCCTCCTGCTGCTGGATGAGCCAGGCTCTGAGCTGCTCCCTCTGTCTCTGCTGTCGGTTCTTTTGCTCTGGGTCCTCGCCTACAAAGTTGGCCAGAACCATCTGAGATGTAGCGTCTGGGTCGTTCAAATCAAACCCACATCTATTCGAAGGCTGCTGGTTCTGGTGCCAGAAGGTGGCCATTGCCTTCTCCATCTTGCGCTTCTCCTTGTCTTGTCTTCTCTGGATCAGGCAAGCAGTTTTGTTGTATTGTTGCATGGCAGCATCTGTTTAGAAACGACATATACCGTTCACCAGGATGCACCATTTATGAAAGCACTTATTAATGAATGTTATATAAGGTTATTTTGAGCTAGTCAGGCTCTTTGCTATAGGCTTATTCTGAATAAACTCACCATAGGCATTTTGTTCTCCTTTGGCTGCTTCCTCTTGTCTCTTCTTCTCTTGCATTTGCATATCTAAGGCGTCTTTATCCACCTGGAACCGGACCAGAACTTTTAGGAGTGATTTCTGCTCTATATGCATATATATATCTATAGATATATATATATCTCTATATATATATATATAATGGATGTAGAACTGACCAATCCTTTCTCTCCTCCCTGTGACCATATCTGCAGCACTGTCTCTGGTCATCTACAATTTTGGGGAGTCGCACCAGAGTGTCTGCGTAAGGGGTGGGGAGCATATCTACATTAACTGTGACACACAAGCAGACGACCTGGTTTCTGAGCACAAACCATGCTTAACTCTTTGTGCTCTCTTTCCTCCTCTGACAGATCAAATTCCTCGGAACTCGTCTGCCTGGCTGTACGGGCCTACCTGTGGAGCTAATTAACATTCTTTGCTTCTTTCTGTATCTCTGCTTCTGTCTCCTTGAACCCCAGTCGGCCTCAGCAGGTGGCCTCTCACACTGGGCCTGGTTCTGTTGGAGGTTTTTTCCTGTTCAAAGGGAGTTTTCCTCTTCACTTTCGCTGCAAGCATGCTTGGTGTTAGGGATTGAAACTTGGTCATTAGAAGTCAGATTAATGTTTACTGTTTGATGTTTCACAGATTTTAAAGTTATTTTTATATATAAACAATGTTTCTTACCAGCAGTTTGGTTTAAGTACATCATGTTTTATTTGGTTCAGCACATGTAGTGCTGTATATGACCAGTAGGGGGAGCCCTGGAACTTTCTCCTCAGCCAATACATGCTGAGAATGTGAAATGTATATGAAATCTCCATAAGAGGAACAAATTAATAATGATGAAGCTGAGAATTTTACCTCTACATTCAAACTTAACTATAATATCCTAAGATACAGTTTGAAATAGTGTGTTTAGTATTATCCTTGACAAACTCTTCATTGTCCATCCAGAGCCTAGATTACAAAATACTATATTATAGTCTCCTACTCAATTTAGGAAAAGGAACAGTTTTCATCCTAATCCTTAAAAAATCCTTAAACAACTATAGATTTATTTTTCAGAGTTTTGAAGCTTCCTTATTTAGTTTGTAACAAAGTACTGAAAGTGAACCATGCTTTTCTACTTTTTATAACAGCACATGGATTCCAGAGGAACTTTGCTTTGGATATCACCATACTTGTGCTACACAGAAGCTTCCTTATATGCTGATTTGGTAATCTCTTGTCAATTAAATTGATTCAGACAACTTTTAGAACAAGTGTCTTTGCAAACCTTTCATATAAATACAAAATGTAATTTCATTAATACTATTGTTCCAAAAGAAATGCCTTACTACTGAGGTAAACTTTGTACCTCAGGAAGTTTTCTCAGCTGAAAAGGGCACAATTATTCTCAAATAATTCTGCAACAAAGGTTATACCTTTATCAATCCAACTTTTATTATAAAAGCTTTGTTGTTGGTAGTAATATGACATTATTCCAAAATTGTTCTTTATGCGGGGAGAATTAGTGTGCATAACAAGTGAGTAAGGCTTGATGATAAAACTTTGAAAGCTTAGATACAATAAAGTAATTTAATCCTCCTACAATGTTAAACATGGTGTGTGGAAGATAATCCCATGATCCTAGACATATAAAAAAACAAAACAGTGACGTCACACCTGATACATATTGCCCAGTAGAGACTCACCCCCATCGTCCTGAGCTTGTCATTAAAAATCCTCTCCTTTCTCTCCATCTCTCTCTTGCGGCGCCTCTCCACACTCTCTCTGGCGACGCGCTCCGAAATCAACTCGCCGTTAAACATTTTTACTCGTGTGAAAAACCGCTTCTTCGATCACTTCTCTTCTCCGCCGGCAACTTTTTGTATCAAAGTGGTTGCTAGGTAACCATTGTGCTCGGGTTCTTCCGTTAATTTCCGGTAAAATAAACGGAAAAACAGTAAACGGTAAAATAAAATAATAATTATTGAATATTAATTTCACTTGCTCATTGGAACATATATACATATATATATACATATATATATACATATATATATATACATATATATATACATATATATATATACATATATATATACATATATATATATACATATATATATACATATATATATATACATATATA